GTGTCGGACACGAACTAGCCAAGGAATGTTCCTGTGGTCTGCAAGTTTATAACCCAAGCTGAGAACACATACACTAATTTCAATAAAAGTCGCCTGAAAAGCTACAAAGCTTAGACCAACAAGGATTATGGGCAGTTACATTTTACATGTTTCTACCGCTTTAATAATTGTTGATGGATTTTAGATCTTTTACCATTTACAGTCTCACCTCTTCTGAGCATCCTCAAGCTGCAAATTGTATCAAAAGCTTTACTTGTTTGATATTAAAAGTTTCCCATGATCCTCAGTGATCTCAGCTTTCTAGGTTTTTTGGTGACTAACTTTATTGAAATAAGTATATATTGTTATTATCCAAAGAAACCAGAAGTGTAGACAATCTAATTTTGAATAGTTAAATTAATTTATTGGTGGTTCCTAATAATAAAACTGGCGAAATTTCTTACTTTTGTTCTTTCTTTGTATGTGCTTCTTCACTAATCAATATTACTTTATTTTTCACTAATAAGATTGGGGACTAGCACAAAAATCTTCCAAAATTAAATTGAATTCGGCTGAAATTTCAATGGAATAATATTTAAGGGTCTAAAAATCACTGGTTAAAGTTTTTTCTTTATGTTCCAGCTGTGGGAAGTATTATATTTTTACGAATCTTTATACGTGTCTGTRAATATGGATACAACTCAAACAAAGAATCTCATTCTCAAGAGAATGACGCGTGGTCTGAAATGGAAAATACGACCGCCTGTGAAAGAAAATTGTACCAAAAATTGAATAGTCTTTACATTATATTGACTCTTTAAATCTAAAACTCATTCATTCATAACTTTTATGTCTCGTTATGATTGACATTCATTAATTAATTAATCCGTAACTTTTATCTTTGATTTCCACCGTCCCCTCTTATGAGAACGCGATCTAACCACACTGCCTGGTGTCAAGGTTTTGAACTTCAAAGTAAAAGCGCCGCCGATTGTGGCACAATCTTCAGAGAACTAAATAAAAATGAGGCAAAAAGCGTGTTATGATTGTCATGATATCAAAATAAGGCTAAAAATAGGRGATTCACGGAAGTTATCAGTTGTTTTTAAATAGAAGGAAAAGAAATTTCTATTTCTAAAGGAGAAACTTTCTATTGTCTTGCACTACAACATGAATGTCATGAAAAAAGGGGGGAGGGGAGRGGGAGGGGTGAAAAAGGCTCCTTCGGAAAATAATTCAACTTAATATATTTTAGTAAAAACCTCCTACTTTTATTGTGAATCACTGAGAACCATCATCAAATCAAATCAGTGGAAATTGTATCAGTTTATGAGGCCGTCGTCYAATTTGCTAGACACTAAGGATTACGCTAAGTATCCACTTTTATGAAGATTTCCAACTTTTGTTTATGTAACAACCTATCAAGCCGAGCGTCTATATCACCGTTACATCAATCCATTTATTGCCTTCAAAATCAAATATACACAAATGTTTTAAGTGATGGCAAAATGCCATGTTGATATTGGTCGATTCATCATTTCCTTTCTATTCTGTCATTGCCAATATTTTAGTCAAAAATCAAAAATTTGATATAAATATTACTATATAAACGACTTAATTTTGCTAGCCTCAATAAAGGTTTTGACTTAATTCAAAATCGAAGTACTTTTACGAACACTATTCGTACAGTTGCCGACTCCATTCATAGTGTACGTACATTCACGAGCATTTCCCCCACAGCTTCCGACTTAACCAAGAGTATAYATATATACATTTACGAACACTTTCCGTACAGTTCTCGACTCAATTCAAAGTATATGCTCAAGAGAAAATGAACTAAGCGAAGGAATCCCCGTGCCCCAAAATGTGCACACTTTGATGCTATTTTTAGAATCATTGATGCTATTTTTAACTCGTTACCATGCCCGCGCAATAATTATAATTCCCTTATGCCTCGTTTTAGGACACGAAAAGCGCCATATTTCGCTACGTCCACGACAAAAACACAGGCATTGTTTACTTTACTTCAAGATTGGAAGCCGAAAGAAAATCAACCAATCAGGTTATTCGCTTAAAATATCTCCAAGCTAAAAATAGCATCAAACTGTGCACATGATGGTTACAAGGCTATATAGGTAGGATTCCTTCTCTTAGTTTATATTCTCTTGATATGCGTACATWCCACATGGGTGAAAAACGCACTGCGCTTGCTCAGAAGTACGGCGGGAAGTTCCTGGACGCCTCGTGTTTAGTACGAAAAAAAAACAAAAAACATTGGAGACATACCGACATTTGTATCATGCAAATTTCCCTTGTATTTTATCAGGGGAAGAAAAAAACTAGAGTAATGTGGATGACAAAAATAAGCACCAACTTTCCATGAACAGGCCTTAACGTACTTTAAAGATTTCACCCCACACGCCGTTATAAATTTTCCGCTGTACGTACGTGTAGTTATCGGATATCCATCGAGCATGTAATTCAATTAATTATAATTATCGTTCGTTTGACGTAAGAAGT